TGTTGCGCGTGCTAATGACATTGACAAAATGTCAAGATATGGTTCCAATCCACGGAGGAGATTTTGAAATTTTAACTTTATTGCACCAAATATCTAGGCTTTTACTGTGAGAAATCTATGAATGTCATTTCCAACTTTGTAAGATTAAGCTTTTCATTTTCTGCAATTTTATTTTTGAGAATTATAAAATACGTTTCCACTAAGTTGTAAAATCATGTACGAGAATTATAAAATACGTTTCCACTAAGTTGTAAAATCATGTACGAGAATTATAAAATACGTTTCCACTAAGTTGTAAAATCATGTACGAGAATTATAAAATACGTTTCCACTAAGTTGTAAAATCATGTACGAGAATTATAAAATACGTTTCCACTAAGTTGTAAAATCATGTACGAGAATTAATGCATGTCCAATGAATGTAAGTTCAATTTAGATTTTTAATGATTATATTTTAGAAGTTCATTCAAAACCCTATAGAAATAAGCACATGGACCTAAGCTCCTATACCTCACTTCTGTCTTATGATAAATTTTATGAAAGATTAGCTTTTATGGCATTCTATATCTCTTTTTATCTTTTAGATTTGCTTTTCAATGGGCATATCTTTACGATGTGTATATTACACCACAAGATAACACAAAAAAGAAAAAATTATGTCCCCCTTTTTTATATATATAAATCCAATTCTGTTAGAGTAAGAACACTATGAGAGTACTGAAAAATTACTGTCAGAAAAAACTAAGATACGTACATTTCTATTATATCCGCGTCAAAAATTTTCTTTTGCTTAGTATTTGCTTGTGGACCTGAGAGTTTCAACTATATAATTTGGATTATCTTTTCTATTTCCTATATTTTACTTAAAATCTGACTTATAACTTAAGCACACTAAATGGTATAATGTCCAACATGTTCACACATGATGCACTAATACTTAGTTTTCTTTTGAAGTTTGGTCAGTTGAATTACAAACTTATTTGACAATATACATTGAAGTTTTAAAATTTAAGTTTAAGGTTAGTTAAAAAAAATTAAAAATTAAAAATTCCATAAATTATATTAAATCAAAGACCATATTCCTACTTGATCTTGATCTCTTGCCAATCTTAGATATTGTCCAACCCTCAATGTTACATGCAGGGGATTCAATACAATTAGTGGGGCCAATTTCAAGAATTCTCCCAACCTATTCACTTGAAATATGCCAACCCTTTAATTTACGAACTAGTGATGCATATTATTTTTCCCACAACTAATATGTTACATCACTCATAAGCAATATTTAACACCAAACCCTCCCACCATCCAAAGTTCAGATATTTTTCTCTTGATTTAATTAATGTCCAAAAAAAAATTGACACCCTAAAATTGCAGTGAGATATTAAAATCTTGATTTAGTAACACATGAAATACCATAGTCGATAAAATAGATCTAACAGGAAAACATAAGTTAGAACACCATATGTAAGGCTGAACAAAACTCTCGAACCGAGTAATTTTTCTTAAGTTAAACACCCGAACGATTATCTGAATCGAGAACTAAAGGGTTTGGTTCGATTTTCGGTTCTAGATTAAGAATCGAATAACCAAATTTCCCTTTTTTAATTAATTTATTTTAAATAAGTCAAATTATTTTTTTTTCCTAAATGAATTTGCTAACTAACTAATTTAGCTCAAACCCAAAAATATGATTTTCCTATTTTTAATTTTCAGTTCAAAACCAACTTATGCTCCATTTGTTTCTCATTAATGTAAGAATGAGAATGAAAAAAATAGTCGTTACGAGCCCCACACAAGAGATAGAAATTCAAATATGGTGGCTTGATGTAATGGATAACGATCATATTTTTATTTTAATGGCCAAATAATGGAAAACAAACATGGATTTAATCAAATTGATCTAAGTTTTATTCAAATCTTTTACTCCATCGTAATGTTGTTTCTACCGTTTTGATGAAATCGAATAGAAACTCAACAATGCCTCTCTTAATTATTGTGAACTCGCTATCTTAATCTTTATGTGATTTTAAAAATCAAATTTATGAACTCAGCAAAGAGAGACACAAAAAACATATAAGATTATATTACGTTATTTTGTAAGAGTTAAAATTGAATATATCATTAATTGAATTAATGTAGTTTTGTAAAAATTAAAAAATTTAATTATAATACGGAACTTGGGAACGTATGAAACTAAACCGAACCGAACCGAACCGAATTGAATCGAATGGAACTGAACCTGAACAGTTTCATAATTAAATTTAAACCCGACAGTTCTACTCACTAAATACTTGAAAATTTCGAATCCAATCCGGTTCTTAGAAAAATCGAACCGAATCGAAACATATCCGGCCCTAACTATATATGAACGCGATTTGGAATACCCTCGCCTCCCCAACCCAACGCCTACCAGCCTTGAAATTCAACCGGAATTTTCATAAACAAGTGGCTTACATTATTGGGAATGGCTTTTTTGTCTAGTTGTTATCACCCCCTTATCATTATGCACCCCACACCACACCACCCCTCCCCTAAGCTACCCTACGCTACCCTACCCCACGTCTAAGACGAAACCCAATTTTTGCATTAAATCCCAAATTTGAAACCTTAATCACGATTCACCTTAAATATCAAATTCTCTCTTTCAAGAAAATCAAAGCATGTTTTGAGCTTAACTAAGGAACCCTAACCAGAGATTTGGGTTTTCTTGAAAGCATACTCCATCAATGGACTTGTACCCTAGCCCCACCAGAACCAAAAGTCCAGATGAGTCTGAATATGATACCCCACCATATACTGAACCCAATGAGCCCTTTTTATCCTTCACCAACGGCGCAATCAAGAAGATCCACCACAACTCACCACCGCCTGCGGTTGTGGTGACTTACAAAGATTGTTTGAAGAACCATGCTGCCAGCTTCGGTGGACATGCCGTGGACGGCTGTGGAGAGTTCATGCCTTCTCCTTCCACCAACACCGCCGACCCCACCACCCTAAAATGCGCTGCATGTGGCTGCCACCGGAATTTCCACCGCCGTGAGCCTAATGATCCCTCCCCCACCAGTATAATCCCTCCTCTTTTTTATTTCCGCCACCCACCTCCACCTAGGCGACCTACACCTTCCCCCTCCCCACCACCACAACCCAACATGTTATTGGCTCTTAGCATGGCGGTACCGGAGGACCACCACCAGGCTCCGGTGACACCAACGGAATTCAAGACAGATAACCTATCTGGACGAAAGCGATTCAGAACCAAATTCAGCCAGGAGCAGAAGGAAAAAATGCACTCTTTTTCAAAAAAACTTGGTTGGAAAATGCAAAAATGTGAAGAATCAAAAGTCGAAGAATTCTGCAAAGAAATAGGAGTTTCTAGAGGTGTACTCAAGGTTTGGATGCACAATAACAAGAACATTTCTGCAAAAACAAGAGATTAACAATGGTAGAAAAATGGACAAAAAATCAATGGTAGCAGCACAATAAGAATAGTAATTATGTTCACATGTTTCCAACAATAAATCTTCTTCTTCATATTGATCAGATAAGAGCAGCTAATTAATATCTTCTTCATGTTAATTGATTAAGTTAACATTTTAATGCAGGAGAAGAAGAGCAAATAAAGGATCTAGATCCTAGAGGTTGAGGGAGAGAAATTTTGAATTTCTTCGCTTATCCTCTATTTTTTTTAAATGAAAATATAGCTCCTCCATCTCTATGAATAAAGTTAATAATATATTTTAAGTCTAGCTGATTGAAAATATTTTCATTGTGAAACTTTCTTTCTTCTTTATCACTTGGTCGAGCTGACTCGTTCTCCTCAAAGAATGTATTGAGTATAGCAGCAGTTGACTAGATATTTAGAAGTATAGTAGCACTTCAGAATTGATATTCATATATGTATTTCTCTAAGTATGATTTTTCCTTTTAGTTTTCTTGTACTTGTAGCAAGAAAATGTTTAAATTTTTTGGGTTCACATAATGTGGAAATAACATGTGATTATGAATATTTATAGCCTGGTTACTATATCCCAGCTTGCTCGTTCAAATTTGGATTTAAGAGTTTATTATGGGATGCAACTTGTTGATGCAAATGGCTGCAATTTTGTCTCGTTATATGTTATATTATCATCACTATTCTCTTGGGGGAAAACTACACTTGGCTTAATGGGGAATAATGACACATGTGGGGTAAGTCTTCATGGGTAATGTACACTTGTATGGGGATGTATATGGAAAATATTGGGTCGTTGTTTTTTGGAATGAAGTACAAGATATTAATTTTTTTAATTCTTTTTTTTTCTCTTCAATTCTATCAAGTTACAAAACATGTCACTAGGAAACTGCTTTTGCAGAAATGTTGTATGCCGGGGTTCAAGAAAATACAAGAGCTAAACTCTAGGTAAATTTTTAAATACACCGTCAAATACTAAGATTAACCCTAAAAAGGGTATTATTGGGGTGGAGAGAATTCTTCATTGACCGTGATAATACTTTTTCCGGTGACATAAAATGATAACTTCATTTTTTTCTTTTGCGCGAATTAGGCTTCTAATAGAATATATAAAGAGGCTATTATGAAGGGTAGAGATTGTGATAAAGTTTGTTAATTACTATCGAATATAAATATACTTGCAAAGTATATAATAAGGTTTGATTGGTCAAAAGTGAGAGTTAGCACTTTCCTATCCAAAGTAGTGGAAGCACCAAAACCCTCATGATCATCTCTTTATTTTCTTACTTTTTTAATAATCCTCAGTGTCCATTAGAAAGCTCCATAGTATCTCACCAGTGTATGTATAGACAATTCTCTCCCACCATTTCTCATAATCAATATATAACATAAAGAGTTTAAAAGAAATATGTGAGGGTTAATTTGGTAATATAATTGAAGTCTTCTTGATTAGGAATTAAAAGAATCAGACAGGGCAGCTAATTAACTTTCTGACACTTTGAGGATTTTAATATATTATCTTATAAATCTGAACTTTTAAGGCAAGCAGAAACAGGGTTTGGTTGGCTAATAATAAAATTGGAGTTTGCCACCTTACCATATTTGGTACGTTGATAAGGTGGCAAGTTTTGGATTATTTGTTAATAATTAAATGACTAATCATATTTGGTAGGATAAGAAGATGACATTAATAATTAAATTATTAATTATTTAATTTATTTTGCTGAGTGTAGGACTGTGAGTAATTCAATCTTGCTGTAAGATTAATTATTAAACGGTGCCTCCCCTTTATCTTTGGATCAGTTTATGACCCAAGATTGATCTTTTTTTCCTAGCAACTTTGTTGGGCCGTGTGCTTAACACCTTTGGGCAATTCACAATTGGACTCAACCTAGGCCCAATGACTGATCCTATTTTGAAGCTTGACACAAAATGCCTCCTATGTGTACATTCTCGGTCCCTTTCAATACTTAAAATCTTGATATACGTATTGGTAGTTCAGTTCCTCTAGCATCGAATTGTGAGCATCTTTCTTCTAGTGTCTTGGCTTATGGGACTTTGGTTATATTAACTTTGACAGTTGAGATGATGCCACTTGGTTGATTGATAGCCATTGTTTGAGGGTTAATGGGTTGTCTCATTAAAAAGGCTGATGGTCATCTCATTTTGCTAAATGAATTCTAGGATTTTCTTCTTGAGCTGTGCCGTTTCTTTCTCTCTGTAAAATCCTTTGGATTCCATCTGTAATCTTAGTTTCTGATATTTTCTTGGTGACATCTGTAAATGGAGTGCAGTGAGGTTCTTTAATCTTCTTCTTGGTGAGCAGCAACCTCTAGTTAGTACAATTTTTGAGAGAAAACTACAAATCTGAAAGTTATTTGATTAATACTTTGAGTATTGATCTCTGTAATTTTATTCTTTGATCGTGCTAGTAGATTTAGGGCATTAACTACAATCTGTGGATGTTCAACGTGGTGAGTAGGTACTTTGGTTGAACATGCGAACCTTAGGGCGAAACAAATATGGTGTTCTTTATTTTTCATTGAAGTTTGATTGTATATGGGACAAAAATACCAAGAAACTTCAATCAAGCTTTT